CACTGCTTCACTGAGCCTGGTCCTGGAGTCCTGCCTGGCTGGTGACTCGTGAAGCAACAGCCTCATTTCCTTATCATTAGTGTTCGTGGAGGAATTTTAAATTATTTTTATTTTATGCATATAAGTGTTTTGCCTGCATGTGTATAAGTGCACTACATGCCAGTGGAGGCCACAAGAGTGTTGGATCCCGGAACTGGAGTGAGGAACAGAGGCTCTTAACTGCTGACCCTCTTTCCAGCCCCTTAATAGGGGAATTTAGTTTAATTTTTTTGAGGGTTTCTGATAATGCTACATTCTGAACATGCAAAGGGTACAAAATGAATTTTTCCAGGATATTTCAAAGGATGATGCCAGTCTATCAATGTCTGCAAAGCACCTTCACAAACTGTTACTGTAGGTCATTTTGTCTCTTATTTAAAGTAAGATACCGTATGTCCATAGTTTTGGCCTGTACTGAAACGGGGGGAAAGAGGGTCCCCTAGAGGGTTCTTAGTCTCATTCATAAAAGAATTGAAGAATGGACCCAAACGGCAGAAGGCAGACAGACTTACAGTGACCCGCATGACTGTGGCTGGTCAGAAGTTCCACGGAGTTCTGGGTTACAAGGTGGGATCCAAGGCAGGAAGAAACACTACCTCATTAACACACTAGGTATTCCGCCCACCTATTTAGTATAACTTAAGGTGAACCCGCCTTCCTGGGGGTGGTTCTATCACTAGGTAACTGACCAGTGAGATTGGAAAGCTGAGTCCTCCAACAGGTAGACTAGGGATTTTATAGTTTGGACCAGTTAAATTTATGGGGCTTTTTGCTACTCTAACATTCCCCCCTCTGAAGCGGTAACCCTAAAATCTTTTAGGGGTTAGATAAGAGCTCCCAAATACTTTTGACATTTTTGGCCTTTGGGACAGAGTATGTTGCTAAAAGGCCCAAGGACAATTTGAGTTTCAGCCAAGAAAGAAACGGGCTACTTTTCTTTGGGGTCTTTTTACCCTTACTGCCTAGCCAATTCCTACCTCCTATTCTTATCACGCCATCCTCTGAAGAGGTGACCCAAATTGTTAATAGGGAATTGGGATGCAGACTGCTCTGGCTTCTTCCATGCTGAACTCAGGGTGAGGCAATTGGGATACCCCTTCAGTGGGTCTATCTAAAAGACTCTTAATAGGGAAAATTAAATGCACTCACTAAAGATATTCCTTATTCTGACTTACCCAAAGCTAGGAAATGTACCAAAAAAAAAAAAAAAAATCAGATAAGGTCTGGTTGTATTGCTCAGGCTGGCCTCAAACCTGTGCCCCTCTGGCCAAGTCTCCTAAGTAGTTGGCACTACTGATGCACACTACACTTGGCTAGGAATCTATTTAACTGGTATCCACTCACTGGAAAACTAGAGTGCTGGGGCTGGAGAGATGCTCAGCAGGCTAGAGCACTTACTGTTTTCAGAATACCTGAGTTGGTTCCCAGGATACCTGGATACCGGGACTTCAACCACCTGTACCTCCAGCTCCAGGGGGATCTGACACCTTCTGGCCTCTGCAGGCACCCACAAATGTAGCATAAACTCACACAGACAAAAACACAAACACATACACATACTGTTTTTTTTTTCAAAAGGAAAAAAGAATGAAGTGCTAAGTGCACATCTATCATCCCAGAACTTGGGATGTTGAGACAGGAGGATAATGAATTTGAGTCCTGCCTGGGCTATATAATAAGACCCTGCCTCAAAAAAATCCAATGAACTTAAACAAAAATTAAAAAACAAACAAAACCCAAACTCTAAGCCAACCAAATAAACCCCCTATATAAACCTCCTACTATAAATGCCTGGTCTGACCTTAGCTATCAGACGTAAAAAAGATAAGCCAGGTGTCTGTCATACCTCACATCTGTAAACCCAGCACTCAAGAGGCAGAGGCAGAAGATCAACTATAAGTTTGAAGCCACCTTGGGTTACATTACATAGTAAGTTCCAGATCATTCTGGTTTAGAGACATCCCCCTCCAAAAATAAGTAAATCATGCCCCTGTCCTGTGCAGTACCGTTCCAGGGCACAGTCACCTGTGTTCCTGCCCACAAGGCGGCCAGGATGACCATCACTTGCCCACATTCTGGCTCCACCTACAGGCTGCTTTTGGTACAAGACTTGCTGTTTCCAAGCCTGGGGAACAATGTATTATCTCTTTTATGAACAGCAAGTTGGTTCTGGACAGGTAAATTAAAAGTTCTAGGCTAGGAATGGTGGCACATGCCTTTATCCCAGCACTGGGGTGGCAGAAGTAGGTGGATCTCTTTGAGTCCAAGGCTAGCCTGGCCTACAAAGTGAACTAACTAGCTCTAGGCCAGTCAGGGCTATAGAGTGAGGGCCTGTTTTAAAAACAAAGCAAGCAAGCAAGCAAAAATAATAAATAAAAAAATAACTTAAAAAATTTTTTAAATCTTTTTGAGACAGGGTCTCCCTAGAGCCACTCTCCACGTAGACCAGGCTGGCCTTGATCTCACAGAGATCCACCTGCCTCTGCCTCCTGAATGCTGGGATTAAAGGTGTGCACCACCACACCTGGAGTAGTTTTTTTTGTTTGTTTGTTTTTGTTTTTAAATCTCACTGTAGGGGCTGGAGAGATGGCTCAGCAGTTAAAAGCTGCTAACTGCTAACTAGCTGCTTTTGCAGAGGACCCAGGTTTGATTCCCAGCACCCACATGGTGGCTAACAACCATCCTAACTCCAGTTCCAGGGGATCTGACACCCTCTTCTGACCTCCACAGGTATTGCATGACATGGGTGCACTTAAACACATGTGGGCAATATACTCATACACATATACACATAAAATGAAAATAATAAATAAAATGTTAAACTTGTAATCCTCCTGCCTCTGCTTTCTGAGGGCTGAGGTTAGAGGTGTGTGCCACCACAAAAGGCTTAGCATCATCCAAGTCTCTCATCCAGCTCTGCAGATATGGTGGGGTACTAGCTCAGGACAGGGTTCTACTCCACAAGGGTAGAACCGACTTACTCTGATGACAGTAAGTGAAGGAACTTTCAGGTAGTAATGGAGAAAGAGCAACTACTCAGCCTTTGTGAGGATGGCTCTGGAGGCAGCTGCACCCATGTGCTTCAGTCTGGTCCTCATCATCTCCCTATAGGTAAGTTCAGTCTCCCAGAGCCCTCCCTGGCCCAGTACTTCTAACTCTTGACACCTTGGTATCTTACTGTTTCCTCTGCTATAAGATCTACACTTCATTAAGCTCTAAGGATGAACAAATGCACCAAGCTCCGTGGCACACGGCTGACATCTGCGAACAGTAGTGACAGTCAAGTGGCCAGGACTGTGGGCCTGTTCCTGATCGGCCATTTCTAAGACCTGGTTCAGGGTGTCAAGCATGTCCTGGTCACTGAGAAGTGTAAGTTGTCAAACCAATGGATGAGACACATGGAGCAGAGTCCATGCCAAAAGTCAGGATCTCATGCTTTGAGATCAACCTGTCTCAGCTTCTTGAGAGCTGGGATTAAAGGCATGCACCACCGCACCCAACTATGCATGGCCTGTAGTTGTCTAGTGCACAGTACTGTGATTAAAGGTGTGAGCCACCAGGCCTGTTTTTTTAAAAATTATTTTTATTTTATGACCGTCATGCAATGTCCTTGGAGGACAGAAGAGGCTATCAGATCCCCTGGAACTGGAGTTGTTAGCTGTCATGTGGGTGCTAGGAATCGAACCCAGGTCTTCTGCAAGAACAGTGTTCTTAACTGCTGAGCCATCTCTCCAGGAGACCCCTGGTTTTATTTTTGAAAGTCTTATGTAGCCCAGACTGGCCTCAAATTCATTACTTAGACATCTTTATTCTCCAGCCTTTAACCTCTCAAGTGCTGGGATCACAGGTATGGGACACACGCCTTTTTTGGGGGTGGGGACAGAACAAGGTCTCTGTAGCTGAGGCAGTTTTCTAACTCGTGACCCTCTTTCCTCACCTTCCCTAATACTGAGTTAACAGGTGTGCAGTACTACAGAGCTGTCAACATTTTTGTAGTTTATTTAACCTTGTAATTGACTAAAATTGCCCATTATGCGATCTAATGTTATTGTTTTATTAGAAAAAGTGGTATGTGTATGTTCAAGAGGTGGTCAGAGGACAACCTGCAGTAGTTCTGTCCTTTCAGGACGTGAATCCTGGGGATCACACTCAGGTTGTCAGACTTGGGGGCAAGCACCCATACCTGTTGGGGATAGCACTCAGGTGGTTAGCCAGTGGCAAACGCCCTTACTGACTGAGCCATCTCACTGGCTTTCTTTCCATTTCTTTTCAGAAGATTTTATTTTTGGAGGTCTGGAGAGATGGGTCAGCGGTTAAGAGCACTGACTGCTCTTGCAGAGGACCCGGGTTCGATTCTCAGCACCCACATGGTGGCTACAAACTGTCCTTGACTCCAGTTCCAAGGGAATCCGATGCTCTCTTCTGACCTCTGCGGCATTGCACGACACAGGTGCACTCACATACATGCAGGCAATACACTCATACACATAAAATAAAAAATTTAAAAAGACTTTTATTTTTATTAATTGTATATAGGTGTGTCTGAGTGTATGCCAGGTGTGTGAGTGCCCAAAGGCCAGAGGGTGTTGGATTCCCTGGAGCTGGAGTTAACAGTGTTAAGTCATCTGATGTAGGGGCTGGGAGCCGAATTAGGGACGAGCAGCAATCCTTCTTAACCTCCGAGCCATTTCTCCAGCCTCTCTTTCCATTTTTTAATTTTAGCCTTCACTTTCCTTTGAGACAGTTTCACTGTGTAGCTCAAGGTGGTCTAAAACTTGCTTTGTAGCCCAGGCTGGTCTTAGACTTATAATCCTGATTCAGTGGAGCTTAGTGGTGTCTTGCTCATGTCAGCTCTTCACAACTTAAGTTTTCCTCCCCCTTCTTTTACCCTCAGAATTAGTAACTGTCTTATCTTTTCCCAAATATGAAAACAGAGGACAGAGAGGTCAGATAGGCAGCAAGACCATTTAACAGGTATTTATTGGATATTGCAGTCTGACCACCAATGCTTAGGGCAACGAAGATTTTGCTCCTCGTTCCTCAGGTTTCCTAAGGAGGTGGCTCCGGGAGGTTCTGAGGGTACCTGCTGCATTAGAGGACACAGAGAGTAGTACCCATGGGTAGTGGTGCATCTCACAGATACATTTATTGATGCCACATAGTAAATGGTACTTAGGCAAGTGTACAGTGACGTTCCATGTTCCCAACTAACACAGCTTGCTTAAATTTACAGGCTGACTGAGGATTCATCTTGAGTGTACTCAGGGAGCGGGCTAATGATGACCATGACCATGAGCAGGTGTAGCACCTGTTGAAGATGGACAAAGTAGATACCAGTTAGGAAGGAGGGAACAGGATGCAGTTTACCCTGTACACAGCAAGCCAAGAAATGCAAATGAAAACTTTCAATGCTACAAAAAAGAATGGGGGATGATTTCTGTGCGAAACCCTAAGCACAGTTCAAGAGTTACGATGCTGACACAGCAAGGGCAGAGGAGGATGTCCTCCCCAAAGCTCACGGAGCCAGTCCTGCCTTCAAGTCACCAATGACACGGGTCCCAACTGCCACTGGAGAAACACAGTGAAGATGTCCCACCACTGAGACACATTTACAGGGCCTTCTACACTTCCTCTTCTGAAGCATTTCTACTTTATCTTATATAGTTACTGAATCGTGTCAATTTCAATTCAAGACAGAACTTGCTTTGAAATGATGTCTTTCATTTCCCAACCACTTCAAGAAACAAAAATCATGCGGGCTGAGCCAGGCATGGTGGCGCACGCCTTTAATGCCAGCACTTGGGAGGCAGAGGCAGGTGGATTTCTGTGAGTTCGAGGCCAGCCAGGTCTACATAGTGAGCACCAGGCCAGCTGGGGTTAGGAGACCATCTCAAAAAAAATAAAAAAATAAAAAAAATAAAAAAATTATGGAGGCTGAAGAGATGGCTCAGCGGTTAAGAGCACTGGCTAGCCTTGCAGAAGACCGGGGTTCGAATCCCAGCACCCATATGGCAGCTAACAATGGTCCGTAAGTTCCAGGGGAGCCAATGCCTTCTTCTGTCCTCAGTGAGCACTGCACAACATGGATGAACTTACATACGTGCAGGCATAACACTCATATACATAAAATAAAAAAAAAAGAAGCAAAAATCTTACCTTTCAAAGCTTTACTTTTTTTATCTAAAACAAGGGAAAAAAATCAGTTATATGATGTCTTACAAAAATGCCTTTCTTTAATTAATCAAATCAACATTGGCTAACAGCTTCACACATTAGTAAAGCATTACAGCAAGCTTTCAGAAAACAGAAAATAGTTGTGGTACCATGTCACAGCCAGGAGATGGTAGTTTTTTTTAGTCTGCATACAAAGTGGTGGGTTTCATACTGACACTTACATACATGTATATCATGGACTTTACATACATGTGTATCATGGACTTTGCTCTTGCTCTCCACCTCCTGCCTATCCTGTACCCCAGAAGTCTCCTTTTTACTTTCAGGTCATACATGTAATATGTGTAGATTCTGCTTGAGAAGGAGCATGTTCGACCTATCTTTCTGAGTCTAGCTTATCTCACTTTACATAATGATTTCTAATTCCATCCATTTACCTGCAGAGTGACAAAAATTCTTTTATGGCTGAATAAAATTCCATTATGCAGACTATGTCATACTCTCTTCAGTCTAACTCTCCAAACAGCAACTGCAGCTGCCTTACCTCACATAGCATTTTCTTTATCCATTCATTGGTTAGTAAACACCCAGGCTGGTCTCATATCTTGGTTGTTTTGAATACTGCTGCAATACACATGGACGTGCAAGTACCTCTGTGGTGCAACGTCTTAGATTACCTCAGCTGCACACCCAGGAGTGGTACAGTTGGATCTTATGGAGGAAACTGCATACGGGCTTCTATGCCGGCTGCACTAGCCTGCACCCCCGTCAGCAGTATGGAGGTGCTCCTTGTGCCAAGCACCCTTGCCAGCATTTGTCTGCCTGACTCATGGTATTCCCTGTGACTTGAGATGCCAGCTCAATGTAGCTAATTTTTTTTTGTTGTTTGTGTGTGTGTGTGCACACCCAGTACAGTGAGAGTGTGGATATCAGAGGACGACTTATGGGAGTTGGTTCTTTCCATCATGGGGACTGAACTCAGGTGTCAGCAAGCACCTTTACCCACTGAGCCGTCTTGCCAGCCCTTAATGTAGTTTTGACCTTCATTTTTCTGGTGGATTCTGGCCATGTAGAGAAGTGATGGTTAGAGCAGACCCACGAACAGTGCCGCACAGGCCTCCCGACTCCCTCTGCTGCCATGCTCAACCGCACTCTTTTTTCTTGTTCTTTTCTTTCTTTCCTCCACTGAAAGCCAACTGGTAATTCCTCTCCAAATTTCATTATGAAGTTTTTTTTTTTTTTGAGACAGGACCTCATTTAGCTCAGGCTGGACTATGCAATCAAGGATGATCTTAAGCCTGACTCTACAGCCTCCCAGCTGAGATTATAGGCATGGACCACCATGCCTGGCTCTCATAACTCCCAGTATCTATAACACCTATTACACCTAGGACAACTCACACTTACTTACCTGATTTCAATGCCTTGTTGAGCAACTCCCATCCCCTGAGCCCTTCATAGCTGGCCCACAGCCTCACAAGCTTACAAGTCATAGTTCTAGTACCCAGGAAGCAGAGGCAGGTGGATCTTTGTGAGTTCAGGCCAGCCTGGTCTACATACTGAGTTCTGGGCCAGCCTGGTTTACATACTGAGCTCTAGGCCAGCTGGGTGTGATGGCTAATCCTGGCTGTCAACTGGACACACCTGGGGAGAGGGACCCTCAATGAGGGATTGCCTGATCAGTCAGCCTGTGGGCTTGTCTGTGGGGCATTTTCTTGCTTGCTAATTGAACAGGAGTGTTGGCACACTGGGTTGCATCTTGATGCAGGCGGGTGCGGGCAGTACAAAAAGCTACGGTGAGGGACGGAGCAAGAGTGTGCAATGTCCCCATGGTTTTGCTTCATTCCTGCCCCGACTTCCTTCAATGAGGACTGTGGCCTCAACGTGTAAGATAAAATAACTCTTCTCCTAAAGCTGCTTAGGTCATGGTGTCCCTTCCAATAACAGAAAGCTCACACAACATGGCCTATGCAGTGAGCCTCTGCCAAAGAAAGAAAGAAAAAGTCAGAGTTCTGGCCCAGTGAGATGGTTCATCTGGTCAAGGCACTTGCCGCACAAGTCTGATGCACAGAGCCCAACAACCTCCTCCAAGTTGTCCTCTGACTTCTGCATGCATGTTGTGCACCCACATAAATATCATGCACACGCACAATAAAAAACTTTAGCCGGGCATGGTGGTGCACGCCTGTAGTCCCAGCACTCAGGAGGCAGAGGCAGGCAGATCTCTGTGAGTTCAAGGCCAGCCTGGTCTACATAGTGAGTTCTGGGCCAGCTGGGGCTGCAGGGAGACCCTGTCTCAAAAAAAGAGTGAAAAAAAACCCCAAAGAGAAAAACCCCCCAAACCCAAACAAACGTTAAAGTCAATGTTTCCTGATAAATGAATTGTCTTTCTGAAAACAATTTTCTTCCTAACCCAAAATAAAAATGTAACTTACCAGCACTCCTGATTTTATAAACGATGAAAGACATCAACCCCACTCCTACCCAAATTTCCTGGTAAACCTGGGTATAGTAGGGCTTCAAGGGCATCCAGACATTCTTAATTAAGCTTTGAAACATCTGAAAAAGCAATAAACATTAAGCTAACTATTGCTATACACCTAGTTGGTAAGATATTTTCATTTATTCATTAAGTCTGACCAAGTTCTCATGACTAGCGACAGGCTGCTATTCTGTTTTCCATAGGCATGGGCTCTGTGGCGCTCTGAACGCCTACCACCACCCCAGCACTCTGCCAACATGCTCCCTGTCTTCCCCAAGCCTTACCTCCCACCAAAGCTGTGCCCTATCTCCGCCCACTGTTTTGACCTTAGTGGACACACTCCTTCCATTACCACCAGCATTTCAAGCTGAAAAGAACAGGGCTGGACGTGTCACTTCCTTGGGAAACTAAAATCTGGGTCTGGGGACACTTTAACCTGCTGTAGCTCGGCCCCGAGGTCCATTGCTGAATCCGAACACAAGACGAAGGCCCAAATATGATAGAACTTATTTGATAAATAATAATATTTAATAACAGGAACTGACTAGGAGGGCCACTAAATTCTGAATGTATGGCTTTCATGTGCAGGTCTCAAAGCAATGCTTCCAGTCATTTTTATAATTTACTACAGATCCCAAATTAGACACCTGCATTCTCAACATAAGCAGCTTTGAATGCTGGGTGTGGTGGTGCACACCTTTAATCCCAGCACTCAGGAGGCAGAGGCAGGTGGATTTCTGGTCTACATTGTGAGGTCCAGGCAGGCTGGGGCTACCGGAGACCCTGTCAGGAAAAAAACAGCTGGTGTATTAAACAATAGTTGTTCATTCTGCCAGCCAGCCACAGCCCAGCTCCTGGCCCTTCTCATTTCACTGAAACTTGTATGGACTGCAGTCAGCATCTTACCTCACGCAGACTCAAACCTGGCTCTTTCACTCGTTAATTTAGACTGCCTTACCTGTACAAAACAGATAAAACAGCCTCAAGGGGCTGCTATGATCCTTAGGTGAGGTACTCTACGTTAAGTGCTATGGTGTGTGGCATCGTGTCAAGAGCTTGCTACATAAAATGCTGCTGCTGAACGTCATACAGCAGGGAAGATGGGCCACGCATCGAGCTTCTACTCTAGAACGTCCTCCCCATTTAACAGCATTTACTGTTTGACATACTTATTTCATACACTATTTCCCAGCCCTACAAAAGGGTACATGGGGAAAGCTGCCCAGGCTCAAACAAGACTAGATTCACATTGTTTGGTACACACATCTGATTCCTAGAGGAATCTGCCTGTGACTTCACCTGCTGCTCTTTCCTGTGAGAATGAACTTGGGCTGAGGAACGGTCTCGAAGGTAGCCAGCACACTGAGATAACTGGAGGATGGGGCGATGTTCCAGGCAGGGCTATCTTCTATGCATACTCGGACAGGTCTCTCTGTCCTGGAATCTCCTCTTACAACTGTATTCAGATGTTCTAAAAGAAGGTGACCCTGCTTTGAACATCACTCAGAGGTGGCCTCTGAAAGGCCTAGACTGCAGAACTCTGAGGCTTGGAGTGAATTCATCCTTCTTTTCTCTGCCATCAGCGAGGACTGGGAAGTTACTGTAGACAACCCAAGGGTTAGAAGCCTAGGACTCCCAGGTCCCAACACGAGCCTTGCTTTTCACTTCAGGGTTTCCCTCAGCCTTCTGTGAAAGAGGGACCACCAACTTGACCTAAAGTCTTCTTGCAACTTAAAGGGGCACAGTCTGGCACCCAGTACCAATAAGTACTCAGCAAATGATCAGGACAGTAACAGAAATAATTGTTACAAAACCTCAGCAAACTATGTAAGAATTCCCAGGCCACTGGGATTCTAAGAGAGGGAGGACTTACGAGTTCCTCTTGTGGCCAGGTAGGGTCATCAAGAGTGACATGGCAAGAAGTAGAAGGACAAAGTGGACAGATGGAAGGAAAGGGGCTGAAAGGGCCTTGATATGCTACTCAGCATCTGGGCACCCTGGCACGTCTCCCTACTCTAAATGACCATGGGGGCCTAGAGCGTGCATTCAAATACTTCTTACGGCTCCACTTTCCTTTTGGCCAGTGTTGCTGTACTTTGCTGGATAAGTGACAGGCATGTTCCAGCTGTTAGTTTTACAACTCCAGATCCTTTAAAAGCTCATCTTACTTGAAAGTCAAGTGGGTACCTACTATGACTGCTTAAGTTGGCAAAGCTTCTGCATGTTACATTAACAGCAAACCTTACACTGGAAAGAACTGGAGGCAGTCTGGGTTTGACAATGCAGTTTCATATACTTTTGAACATCCCCTTTGCTAGCCTAACTTGGAGGAAAGCTGAGGCGTAAGGGGAGAAGGCACTAACTTTGGGGCGATGCTTCCTGGCCTGCATTCTAGCTGCATCACTGACCAGCTTGTAACCCAGGGGAGGTAACTCACAGGAGAGTTGCTGCACCACTGCTCATCAAAGCCTATGGTTTACAGGTGCATCCATGTCGTTCATGCCAGTAAAAGAGCATATGCCCGCCCATGTGGGCCCTACACCAGACGCCACCCTTAGACAGCCCCTGCTCAGCCATGGGGGGCACAATCAGGGTGCCTCCCCTTAAATGCTGGGAAGTAATCCCTCAGAGCACTCCTTCAGTCTGGGCTACTGACCCCGGACACCCTCTTGGCAATCTGGGGGCTGACCCCGGCACCCTCCTGGCAGTCTGGGCCAACCCCGGAAACCCTCCAGACAGTCTGGGGGCTGACCCCGGACACCCTCCTGGTAGTCTGGGGGCTGACCCCGGCACCCTCCTGGCAGTCTGGGGGCTAACCCCGACACCCTCCTGGCAGTCTGCGCTAACACCGGAAACCCTCCTGACAGTCTGGGGGCTGACCCCGGACACCCTCCTGGTAGTCTGGGGGCTGACCCCGGCACCCTCCTGGCAGTCTGGGCTAACCCCGGAAACCCTCCTGACAGTCTGGGGGCTGACCCCGGACACCCTCCTGGTAGTCTGGGGGCTGACCCCGGCACCCTCCTGGCAGTCTGGGCTAACCCCGGAAACCCTCCTGACAGTCTGGGGGCTGACCCCGGACACCCTCCTGGTAGTCTGGGGGCTGACCCCGGCACCCTCCTGGCAGTCTGGGCTAACCCCGGAAACCCTCCTGACAGTCTGGGGGCTGACCCCGGACACCCTCCTGGTAGTCTGGGGGCTGACCCCGGCACCCTCCTGGCAGTCTGGGCTAACCCCGGAAACCCTCCTGACAGTCTGGGGGCTGACCCCGGACACCCTCCTGGTAGTCTGGGGGCTGACCCCGGCACCCTCCTGGCAGTCTGGGCTAACCCCGGAAACCCTCCTGACAGTCTGGGGGCTGACCCCGGACACCCTCCTGGTAGTCTGGGGGCTGACCCCGGCACCCTCCTGGCAGTCTGGGCTAACCCCGGAAACCCTCCTGACAGTCTGGGGGCTGACCCCGGACACCCTCCTGGCAGTCTGGGGGCTGACCCCGGCACCCTCCTGGCAGTCTGGGCTAACCCCGGAAATCCTCCTGAGAGACTGGGGGCTGACCCCGGACACCCTCCTGGCAGTCTGAGCCAAGCCCGGACACCCTCCTGGCAGTCTGAGCTAACTCCAGCACCCTCCGGGCAGTCTGGGCCAACCCTGCATCCTCTCGCAGGGGCTGATCAAGGTCAGCGGCGTCCAGGCGTACCCCGCGGCCCTATCCCTTGGCCCCCCGCATCCCATCCCGGCCCCTTTTCAATCCGGGCTGTGGCGCACCCAGCAGGAGGCCCAGGCCCCGCTCTCACCTCCGCTAAATGAAGGCCTCAAGCCACACAGAACCCCGACAACCGACTGGGAAAGGTCAGCGAGCACGCAGGCGCCGCGCGGGGCCCGCCGGGAAAGCGGAAGGAGTCAAGGCGCCCGAGGCAGGCCGCTCTGTCGTCTGCGCCTGCGCGGCATAGCGCTCCCGGTGGACGCCGGGATGTTGCAGGCCATTCGGCCGCCGGCTCCGGGTGGGGAGGCCTGGCCATATCCCCAGGGTGTCCTGGACGTCACAATACGAGGGCTAACGGTCTGTATTTCCCAGGGCTCGTGAGTTTCCCAGGACCCGAGCCGTCCAGTGTTCAGGACAGTATCTGGTCAGTGCACACAGGTCTGCCGGGTTGTATTTGTCATCCCAGCAGAGGCAGCGGATCACAAGTTCCAGGCCAGCCGGGACTCCGTGAAAAACCAAACCAATCAAAAAGGGACCCTCCTTACCTGATTTGTGAACGAAAACAAGTCTCCCATCTCGGTGGTGTTTCTTGTCATTTCTTGGCGTTGTTACCTATTCTGCCTGTTTGATTAAGCATCACTGTGCACGGTGAGTATCCTTAATTGAGCGTGTGAAGTAGTGTAAACTCTTCTGCAGGCGTTCCAGACACTGGACCTAACAGTCTTCAGAAGAAAAGATGCTAGCTGGGTGCGCTATGCTCTCATAACCAGCACTGGGGAGGTGGAGGCAGGAGGATCAGGGTGGTTTCAGGGCCAGCATGGGCTAAAGACCCTGTTTCAAAAACACAAAAATAGCAGGGTATGGTGACTCACTTGGCTTTTAATCCCAGGACTTAGGAGGCAGAGGCATATTTCTGTGCGTTCGAGGTCAGCCAAACCCAGGTACATAGTGAGAGCCTGACAAGTCTGGTCTGCATTCTTCTTATGTTTAAGGAACATAGAATTTCAGCAGACCCTGGAAAAATAAATCCACTCATTGGATTAAAAAGAAAAAGTGCCAAACAAATTAGATTTAACAGATCAGACAGTGGAAGAATTACTGAATCAGGAGACAGGAGAAACTAGGCAGAGGCTCAGACAGGTAAGAGGAGACAAAATGCTACACAGACTGAAAGCCTATTCCATCATTCACCCCGGTGCAGGTCTTTTCTTTTTTTTTGGTCCTGTTTTTCTTTGAGACAGGGTCTCCCTGTAGTCTAGCTGGCCTGGAACTCGCTACGTAGACCAGGCTGGCCTCAAATTCACAGAGATCTGCCTGCCTCTGCCTCCCAAGTGTTGAGATTAAAGGCATATGCCACGACGCCCAGCTCTTTTGCTTTTAAAAAAGTATTATGTGCTTGTGTGTATGGAGGGAGCATAGGTGCCACAACACATAAGTGGAGGTTCCAGGCATTAAACTCATGTCAGGCTTGGCACCAAGTGCCTCTGTCCATGGAGCCCTATAACCAGCCCTCCTTTGGTTTCTTTGTTTCTTTCTTTTTTTTGAGACAGAGTCTTACTCTGGGACCCCCGCTGGCCTCAAATTTGTGGTGATTCTCCTGCCTCAGTCTCTCAAGTGCTGGAATTACAGGTGTGGGCCATTATACCCAGCTTCCTTCTTTCTTGGTGCTGGGGATGAATCCCCAGTATGTGCAATTGAACCTTAGAAGAAAAGGAATGTGATTAGGGCAGAAATATTTAATGAGCTAATGACTGACTGAGAATTCTCCAAAATGGCTGAAAAAAAATTCAAAAAATTTTACTGAGCTGAGCGTGAGCGTGGTGGTGCACACCTTTAATCCCAGCACTGGGGAGGCAGACACAGATGGATCTCTATGAGTTCGAGGCTAGCCTGGTCTACATAGTTCCAGGCCAGCTGGGGCTACAGGGAAACCCTGTCTCAAAAAGACAAAAAAAAAAAAAAAAAAAAAAAAGTTTTACTGAAACCAAGCAGATAAAAGTCTTGAAGCTTCATAATAAAACCACAGAAAACTAGAGACTAGGGCTGGGAATTGTAACTCAGTAGAATGCTTGCTTAGCATGTGCAAGCCCTAGATTCCATCCCCAGAACCACTGAACAAAAAGCACCTAATAACAATGTTAACTAACTGCCCACCTAGGATTCTATTTGTAGGAGAGTTAGCATTTAGTAAAGATGCAGTATAGTTTTGGACAATCTAAAAATGAGGGACTAATTAACAACAGATCCACAGTAAAATATCAGCACTCTTTTAGGTAAGGGAAAAGTGGGGTCAGTTGGAAGAATATGGGAAAGAATGAAAAGCATCCCCAGGCTCAGGACCAAATGAAGTGGCAAGCAAAATTTGAAAAGCTTGCTATTTTAATAGGGTACTGATTTCCCAGGTTTGGAGGTTTCTAAAGTCTCTAAGGATCAAAACTGTTTTGATTGTAATAATAATATTTGTCTTTTTTGCTAGGATTCTTTCATGTGCCCAGTGGAGTTTTCCAGACTTGTGACATCATAATAGTGTGAGTTCAGAGACAGATTTGAAAAGCAGCTGTCTTCCACTCAGCCAGACACTAGGAGATTGATGAAAACTTAGAAGTGTCATTCTTACATACAAAGAGATTTCTGGAAAATATAGTGATTTTATTTTTTAAAAATGTGTATAACTCACTTAAAAATATGTATGACCTGCCTGGAAGCAGGTCTCTGTGAGATCTAGGCCAGCCTGGTGAATTCCAGGCAAACTAGGACTACAGGGAGACCCTGTCTCAACCACCCCCAGCTCAAACAAAACAAATAGGGGGCTGGAGAGGATGGCTCAGTAGTTAAGAACACTTGCTGTTCTTCCAGTGACCTGGGTTCAAGTCCCATATGGCAGCTACAACCAACACCCTCTTCTGGCCTCTGCGGGCATACACAAAAAAATGTATGATGCCAGGCATGGTGGCGCACGTCTTTAATCCCAGTACTTGGGAGGCAGAGGCAGGCGGATCTCTGTGAGTTCAAGGCCAGCCTGGTCTACATAGTGAGTTCCCGGACACCTGGGGCTACAGGGAGACCCTGTCTCAAAGAGAGCCACCCCAAAAAAACTTTATTGAGAA